AGTTTAAGGTGAGGAAGGACTGGTAGTTGAATTTTCCCACAATGATATGAGTAGTGCCGATGCTTCCATTGAAGTCCACGTAGCTTTGCTTTCCAAAAAAGAGATATCATCCAGGGTAGACTGCAGTTTCGACCTCACCTAGATCTTATCGACACCCCCAGCGGAACTCGAACCATGACAGTGCGGCATGTTATCTCTACAAATTAGCAACTACGCCACATTTCCACGAATGCCCTTGGGTCACAGAGCAGATGCGAATTTAAGGGAAGGCCAGGCGTTCTCCTACATAACATCTCATGGTAGTCCCGAAGCATTACTTATAAATGGAAATAAGCATTATAGTTTATTTTTATAGCAAATATAACTTTGCTTCATCGACAATCGCACCAAAAAATGGCAGACAAATGCCCGGCCTTCCTGGAAATTCACCTTTTCCCCGCACTCAAGGGCATTCGTAACAATGCAGCGTGGTGATAAACGTGTCAAGATTACACGCTGCACTGCCATTGTTCGATTTCCGCTGGGGGTGTTGATAAGATCCATGCGGGGTCGAAACTGCAGTCCATCCTGGATAAGAACACCTTTTGAGAAAGCAAGCTAATGCCAAATTCAATGGAACAGTCTGCTCTAATCATGTCACTTGGGAAAATTCAACTATCAAACGAAATACGGTAAGTACATCTCAAGTGGACAAAGTGGACTCCTACTCTATATCTTTTCAGTAAGGAACATTTTGAGAGCAATACCGAAGGTAAGTATGTGATAGGGGGTAAATTTAGGATTCTATAAACAATCGCCCTAACTAATTATAGTATATCTAATATCAAAATATAGCACAATTTATACGTATCATTAAAAATTCAAATTTAAGAGTCCTAGAGTCTAATTTCTAAATAAGAACACCGATCGTTTAAAGTGATAAATAATTTTCCCACAATCACATGAGTGGGCTCCATGGTGCCAATTAATCTCGCTTAGCCAAACTTGCCAAGTTATTATTATCCAAGATGGATTCGTTTCGACTGTGCCTGGCTCTCACCAGCACACCAAAAAGCAAGCGAGACTGAGTGCAATTAAATTACATCGTGAGGCCTGTTCGTATCATGGCGGGAAAATTGATCAGCAATTCAGCATAACCTTACCGGGTGATTAAAATTATTAGCCCAGATCTATCTGCTTATGCAAGCGTTTGATATCTATAAGCTGCCAAATAAGGCAGTTAAAACTAAGCTGAAAGTTTACTTGCCAGATTCCTGGAAAAACAAATTTAAGCTGGCAATAGCTAAAAAGCGTATCTGAGAATCTTTGTCCATAGTTAAACAAAGCACAACCCAGATTTGCAAAATGTCGAAAATGACATAATTGGCTAAAGCCCTTATGGTAGGTCAATTCAGACTACAAAAGAATAAAACTAATTATGAAAGAAAATTCTTCGTAAAGACCCACCCAGTTAGCATACCCCTATTCTCTTCACTAAAATCTAGCTGCGGATGGGATTGCCTGTACAATATGAAAACGTAGCGATGAAAGCCAGTGCCTTGATATGGAATCGGGGGGAAGTATGTAACGACCTGGTCACCAGTCCAGCGACCATCTTCAGTAGCATGAAAATTGGAACTGAAAGTGTGAAGATAAAAAACAGCGGTTCAAAATCAGAGAAAATTATGTCTGGTACAGAGTCGATAAAACAAAAAGGAAAGTGTCGTAACAGGCTCTTAGAATGGTTACTTGGGATGGTGCATGAAAGATAGCTAGGATATGACGCTAGCATCGCGGATCACAAAGTAGCGAAAGAATTGCACTGGCAATAGGGAAGGGTACTTTAGGCACCTGCAAATGTACCTCTGGAATAAATAGAAAACAAGGACGCACAATAACCGAAGATACTTAAAAATAAAGAAGGCTGGGTGAGAAGAAATAATCCTTATATCACCAAATTTTGATTTTTGTAATGAACGATTTTTATTGTCACATTCATTAACTCCTTTTAGCGGCAGCTTAGTTATAAACCTTTTGTCTCGATATGATTAAAAAGGGCCAGTTGATAGGCAATATTAGGAAGACGATGAAGGACCCAACTTAGGCTCAGGTGAATAAAAAACTCAAAATTTGTAAACCCTAATAAGTCCCTTATACTACTCACAGGATCCAAGATATCACCAGGCTCCGTTAAAGATATCCTAAAATTTATTGAAACGCAATCTTTCGATTACTTATTACGATGGTCTACCGCAGACGGCAACCGTCACATATATTTATAAACGACCTATATTTGAATGTGACACTAATTTAGCGCCAGAGCGATAATATGATTAATCAAACGCACT